TGTGGCCCGGGTTCGATTCCCAGACCAGGCAGAAACAAATTGGCAGAGTTTCTTTCACCCTGATGCTTCTGTTACCTAGCAGTAAATAGGTACCTGGGAGTTAGAGAGCTGTTACGGAGCTGCTTCCTAGGTGTGTGTGTGGAAAAAATATAATAATAATAAGTAGTTAGTAACAGTTGATTGATTGACAGGTGAGAGGTGGGCCGAAAGAGCAGAGCTCAACCCACGCAAGCACAACTAGGTGAATACAACTAGGTGAATACACACACACCAGAGTGGTAAACGGTTAGAACGATTTCATATCAATCAGGGTTTTTATAACCTTTTCTCTGTCTATTAACCCATCTAATGTCTTATAATTTGACTTCCTTCAATGCCTAAAACGAATGATTCGTCATTTATCCTCGTGCAATTTTCGTCTGAAGAACATCATATGATGCAGTATCGTGCCACAAAGGTTCAGCGTTCCACTGCTGCATTTCCACATACAAACTCCGACATGTTGTGGCATTTCTACCTTCTTGGTCGACGGCTGCACCTGCTGCCTCTCCCACCTAGTCTACGCCCACCTCCAGCGTGTATAATTTAGACATAAGTATGCGGCTCGCTCCCCTGTGTGACTTAATGGGTGTAAAAAACAGGTAAGGACTGGCTGCTTCGTCACCTACCTCTCTCTCTCTCTCTCTCTCTCTCTCTCTCTCTCTCTCTCTCTCTCTCTCTCTCTCTCTCTCTCTCTCTCTCTCTCTCTCTCTCTCGCTCTCTCTCTCCATCTTAGCTTCTTGACACGCTAATTAGCAGTGCCTGTGCGTGTGTGTGTGTGTGTACTCGTCTAGTTGTGCTTGCGGGGGGTTTAGCTTTGGCTCTTTGGTCCGTGTACACACAAGTACTAAATCATGCAGCACGAACACGTACACAAACGCTGGGAATAACAGTCGTGCAGCTGGGACACGAACACAAGTACACACGTACAGCTGGTCATTCTTATCACGAGCAGGCCAGCCGGCCCTGTCACCGCCAGTCCCAACTGATCCGGCCGGCCACGACCAGTCCCCGAGGCCTACAAACGCTCTAGACAGAGAAGAACACCCTCTACAAACCCCCACTGAATTTTTGAGAGTAAATATACATCAAAATAATTACATTTTTGGTTGCAATGTTGCAAAAGTTAGACTTGAGGCCTCACCTGCGGTGGTGTCTCTGGATGACCGGTGTCTTCCGGACCGGAAAGAGAGAGTTGCCCAACAGGTGCCACCAGTGCCACCTCACCAATCACCAGGGTGGCACACCGTTGTTGTTCTTGTTTAAGATTCGCTACCTGGAACAAAAAGTTCCAAGTAGCACGGGCTATGGTGAGCCCGTGTACCTTTTTACACATGTGGGTAGAGGGGCAGGCGACTCCTGACTCCTCTTAGCATTCTTAGAGCATTCTCTCACGATAGCCTTACTCCTAGTTTCCCCTAGAACACGACCAGCCTGTGGGTTAAGAACCAGGTACTCAATTAGTGATGGGTGAACAGGGGTGAAAAGGATTGGTGCCCAGTCAATCTTCACTGACCAGGATTAGAACCTGGACTAAATCCGGGTCTCCTGGTGGTTATCATGTTGTTTCTGGAGCTCCCTCGGGGTAACACTCATCAACAGGTGCAATTGACTGTGGCAAGAGACAGTGAAGGTCACCTTCATGAACAGTTTCAAGGTATGACAATGAGCTTGTGGAACGGGAAGCATTGTATTAACTTAATAACAGGCCGGTAGTAGAAAAGCCGGGGCTAAGGAGCTAATGCTTTATCTGAGTGGATTTAGGTGAGTACACAAACTGAAACTTAACGTGATAATATTCCTATGAACAGACCGAAGTGCGCAAACACTTTTGCAGTCAAACAATATATTACTTTCAGACATCAACCTGAAGTCTGTTTTAATCTCATTCCATAAGTTAAGTTAGAGGCATGACCGGCGCGCAGTAGACAGTTACTAACAGTGACCGGCGCGCAGTAGACAGTTACTAACAGTGACCGGCGCGCAGTAGACAGTTACTAACAGTGACCGGCGCCCACACTCGCCATAACTGTACACGGAATAAGTCTAGACGTAACCAAAAAGTTGAACAAATGCAACTCACTATCATGGTTACATCCGGCTTCTTCCCGGTATTTCCTGCCGAAGCTGTTGTTAGGGAGACGCTGAATGGGAGTATCCACAGCCCCTCTCCTGTGCCAGGTAAGTCCACTACGGGCTCACCATAGCCCGTGCTACTTGGAACTTGTTCCGAGTGGCTGAATCTATAACAAGAACAACCATGGTACCACACAGCACCATCGCTGCCTGGCACGAGTAGTGGGGATGAGTAGAGGTTTACTCCAGCGGCACTACTCTCTAGCAGCGGCACTACTCTCTAGCAGCGGCACTACTCTCTAGCAGCGGCACTACTCTCTAGCAGCGGCACTACTCTCTAGCAGCGGCACTACTCTCTAGCAGCGGCACTACTCTCTAGCAGCGGCACTACTCTCTAGCAGCGGCACTACTCTCTAGCAGCGGCACTACTCTCTAGCAGCGGCACTACTCTCTAGCAGCGGCACTACTCTCTAGCAGCGGCACTACTCTCTAGCAGCGGCACTACTCTCTAGCAGCGGCACTACTCTCTAGCAGCGGCATAAACAACATATCAACAACAGCAAACAACAGAGGCAGGAAGCCAGATAATACATGAGCGTCTGTAAAAAAAAAAAAAGCCGTTTAATTTGCGCGTTGAAACGTGGTGGGAATTTTTCTTCCAAGGTCGTGTGAGCCCGAGATTATCCTGGGAATTTTTGTTCCAAGGTCGTGTGAGCCCGAGATTGTCTTGGGAATTTTTGTTCCAAGGTCGTGTGAGCCCGAGATTGTCTTGGGAATTTTTGTTCCAAGGTCGTGTGAGCCCGAGATTGTCCTGGGAATTTTTGTTCCAAGGTCGTGTGAGCCCGAGATTGTCTTGGGAATTTTTGTTCCAAGGTCGTGTGAGCCCGAGATTGTCCTGGGAATTTTTGTTCCAAGGTCGTGTGAGCCCGAGATTATCCTGGGAATTTTTGTTCCAAGGTCGTGTGAGCCCGAGATTATCCTGGGAATTTTTGTTCCAAGGTCGTGTGAGCCCGAGGTTGTCCTGGGAATTTTTGTTCCAAGGTCGTGTGAGCCCGAGGTTGTCCTGGGAATTTTTGTTACAAAGTCGTGTGAGCCCGAGATTGTCCTGGGAATTTTTGTTCCAAGGTCGTGTGAGCCCGAGGTTGTCCTGGGAATTTTTGTTCCAAGGTCGTGTGAGCCAATCAGGGAAGGTCGTCCTGTGAGAAAATCTGTCCAGGTCGTTAAAGTCACTACACCTCTTAAAATATATTAACCAGTATACTTTCAGTATATATGCACCGAGAAGTGGATATACTGTGTGTGTATATATTCCCCCTGTGCCAGCTACTAGCTGTGCTGAACAACATACTGAGAGTCATGCACACTGCTAACCATCACAACCCACACAGTCACACCAGTTCGTTGTCTCCAGACTCCTTCCAGGATTCATTAGCATCCTAGGTTTAAGAGCTTTTAGCATGTCGTGGCTTAGAGGGTTATGGCACGCTTCTGGCGTTAACCAAGACGCTGGTTCGATCCTCGTAATGATCCAACGATTTTCTCATTATAAACTGATTCTGTGTTCAATAATAGGCTAATCAAAGTAAGGGCATTAAATTTAGTTTTTATTCATATATATATATATATATATATATATATATATATATATATATATATATATATATATATATATATATATATATATATATAACAAAATTCATAAAATATAAGTTTATTCTTAGCCTATTAGGTAGGTGTCTGGAAGAACATACACGAAATCACTTTGTCTCTCTCAGCACGAGTTTTCAACTTGGTCGTTAATGAATGGTTGAATCCCGTGGTTAATGATGTCACTGGAGGCCAGACCTTGAGACCACGGGCTCGCCCAGACCAGCATCAAAACAAAGGGGTGCCGGATGCAAAACAAACTAGTCAAACACTGAACTATGAGCGTAAACAATGGTTTGTTTGTGTAGTTCGAATGCGTTGCAAACGAGGGCACGAGACTTGCTTCAGTTGAACAAATCCACAAGGGCCGTGACGGGGATTCGAACCTACGTCTGAGAGCATCCCAGACTGCTCGCTTCAGTTACTTCCAGCGTGTCTTATCTCTCCTTATATCTAAGTAAAACAACTAACCTAACCTTACCTAGGTCTAACTATCCATAAACCTATAATATAATATATATTTTTGATAGAAAAACCGTCTTTTAATACACATTATGAAAGAATCATCCTGTCAATCGGGGGTCAAATGTATATATATAAAAAACTGAGTTATTAGCAAATATGATTTTGCTTATAACTCAGCAATATAACTTATTTTCCTTTGTTGTTTTTGTACTTAGGCCTCGGAGTTGAGGATGTTTCAGCAGTTCTGTAATTACCAAACTTCCAATAATTTTTTGCTGTTGTTATACCAGGAACTAAATTGTTTAATTATATGTTTTTGTATAACTATGCATTGTGTTTATAATGTTTATATATATAAGATATCAACAAGATATATAAGATATCGAGCCTGATAAGTGACCTTTTTCACTTGACAATAGAGTGAAATAACCGCGTGGAAACATTTGTGCAATTTGTTGAAAACAAACACATATGATTCCATGATTGATTGATAAAGATTAAGCCACCCAAAAGGTGGCACGGGCATGAATAGCCCGTAAGTGGTGGCCCTTTTGAGCCATTACCAGTATCAATAGATGATACTGGAGATCTGTGGAGGTGCGACTGCACCCTGCGTGACGGGAGATGTCTCCCGTGCATATGATTCCATTCACTCTAGGAGACTCGAACCGTGAACCCCCAGGCATGTGAGGCCAAAGCCCTATCGACCGAGCTATGTTCTAAACATACATGATCCTGGCGAGGTGCGGCGGATAAGGTTAAAAATATCCTTATTCGTTTATTATGAAATTCATTTCTCTAACTCAGTAGTGTGGCTTGCATGTTAATAGATATTTGAGTCACAAATATCCACCGGCTGTTATATATACGAGTCTGTTCTCGTGGAACAGACTCGAGTCACTTCTGAACATGATAATATTTGTTTATGAGATTCATTAGATGAGTTACAGTGTTGAATGCTTGATGAATCATAGGTTAATGGACCAAGTCACAATAAATTTAACAGTGGGTGTTAATTCCATTTGAGACAGCCGGACACACATCATCACATCCAGGTAACATAACCGCAACGTTTTTTTAACGTTTTTTTGGCTTAATAAAAACGTTATCACAACATAATGGCTTTAAAATAACGTTGTGATTCGTTTTGTGTGTGTGCTGGGGGTATGAGGGGTGAAGAAATAGTGCCCAATCGCTTCGACTGGTGGGGATTGAACGCCGACGCTAAAAGAAAGGAAAGGGAGGAGGGGAATTATCAGGAGAAAGCGCCAAGCCTTTACGACTATATAGCATTGGGAAGGGATGAAGATTAGGATTTGGGATGGAATGTGAGGAGTGAAAGGAATGGTGCCCAACCACTTGGACGGTCGGGGATTGAACACCGACCTGCATGAAGCGAGACAGTTGCTAGGCATGAGTACTCCCGCGGAGTCCAGGCTCGCGAGTTCGATCTCATCATATGGCCCAAATATTTTTGGATACATCATATTATAGTGACTTTATTGTGCATTTACCCCTAATAATACAATAGTGAACATTTGTACTCACCGAGTGTGAGCAGAACTCGAATTTCCACTAACCTGGAAATCATATAATACCATGTCCACTACGGGCTCACCATAGCCCGTGCTACATGGAACTTTTTGTTCCAGGTAGCGAATCTTAAACAACAACATATAATATCATCCTAAGAACACTCGAATTTCAATATTACACAACCAATAAGGCTGAAATAAATAATATAAAATCTCATTATCCGAACACATTTTCGTTCGGTTATTACGAACAGATGCGACTATATATAGTGTCGTTCCTTCGTTAAAACTGCGTTGAGATCTTGTTGTCGTAGGAGAGGGCTTTGACCTTCGCGTCGATGACCTCTGGGCGAGGTAAGATGAACCTGACCCAGGGGTGCACGAGTGACCTTTCCACACGCCGACCTCCTGACATACCTGTAGGAGGAAGACAGCTTCATGTTAAAAGGTGAAGCTGAGAACATATTTAGTTAATAAACCACATATGATGGCTAAGAAGAACTGTTCAAGCTGGCGCAAGAACACATTGTTTGATGGTGATGATGGGTTAGTAGGAAGAGCAATTTTTGACCGCGGTCAGTACAAAAGTATGATACATTGAACCCATAAATATGGGAAACCCTGTGATTGAAATTGAGATTGAAATCAGTTTATTGAAGTATAAACTACACACAAAGGGATGAGGCAGCTCGAGCTATTCTCACCCCGTTCAGTACATCGTGTTCATATATTTACATATATAGACACACATTATATCCATATTACCGAACATCCTTATGTATGGGCTGAGACCTTAGAGCATTATAAAGTGGCATTATACGGTATACATCATAGAGTACTCTACATACACGTGGGGAACCTCCACTCCTCACAACATTATTTTATAAACTACAAAATAAAGCTGTATTGTTCAGTTCATTTGACGCCATATATTACTATGTACCTACTATTTATTTTTATTTATAGCAATTGTTCTATTCCATATCCTTCTTGTGGAATATACCGTCCAGGTGGTTTGGGCACCATTCCTTCCCCCCCGTCCCAACCTAAATCCTTATCCTGACCCCTTCCAAGTGCTATATAGTCGTAATGGCTTGGCGCTTCCCTTTGATGATTAAACAAAATCGAATTCCGCCAGGTTCCGCCCAATACCTCTGACCTTCAGTCATTAAAAACCCCTGTAACACATTATCTTGAACCCATAGACTTGAACCTCTGCTACATTGGGATCTGTTACTGGCTAATGATTCTGTATCTTGCTATCTTGAGGTTATCTTGAGATGATTTCGGGGCTTTAGTGTCCCCGCGGCCCGGTCCTCGACCAGGCCTCCACCCCCAGGAAGCAGCCCGTGACAGCTGACTAACACCCAGGTACCTATTTTACTGCTAGGTAACAGGGGCATAGGGTGAAAGAAACTCTGCCCATTGTTTCTCGCCGGCGCCTGGGATCGAACCCAGGACCACAGGATCACAAGTCCCGCGTGCTGTCCGCTCGGCCGACCGACCGGCTCCTGCTAAAATCAAGCAAGATTTTTGCAACTGACGTTCTGTATTTCAGGTTAAATTGATATTCTGAACTTTTTCTTTAATGTGTTTTTTTTAGTATTTGTTGAAGCCAAAGAATTTCGACTTGTATTTGAGTGGTGAGAAACTTTTATAAATGAAAATTGGTGTTCGTTGTATTGGGTTGAGGTATGCGATTGGATTTTGAACAAATCCACAAGGGCCGTGATGAGGGTTCGAACCCGGGATGATCCCAGACGCTGCCTTAGTCGACTGCGCCACGGCATGGTCCAAAAAAGAATTGAAACCGGGAGTTCTAGTGACCTCATTTGATACATCACGCTATTGTGATTTCTGTGTGCATGGATTGGCTTTGGTTGTGTTAAAGTGACGCAGGAAGCACAACCTGTTGCGTCTCACACACCGTGGTTACGTCTGTGAATCAGATATTGACGCAAAACGATAAGCGTCAAATGTTGATAAATAAGACGTATTTTATGTCAGATGTTGACGCATGTGTCATGCTTCACGCAGGTGTTGACGCGCCGTTAGAGAGAGGGAGAGGGGGGGGGAAGGACGCAAAGTTGAGGGGCATTCGTGGCCTAAATCTTAGCAATTTACAAAGGAGTTACGAGGAATAATCAGCATAGTTTTGTAAGGATGTAAGTTACTTCAGGAATAGGAGACGTTGGCAGGCTTATGAGATTCATATATATATATATATATATATATATATATATATATATATATATATATATATATATATATATATATATATATATATATATATATATATATATATATATATATATATATGTCGTACCTAGTAGCCAGAACGCACTTCTCAGCCTACTATGCAAGGCCCGATTTGCCTAATAAGCCAAGTTTTCATGAATTAATATATTTTCTCTAATTTTTTTCTTATGAAATGATAAAGCTACCCATTTCATTATGTATGAGGTCAATTTTTTTTTATTGAAGTTAAAATTAACGTTAATATATGACCAAACCTAACCAACCCTACCTAACCTAACCTAACCTAACCTAACCTAACCTATCTTTATAGGTTAGGTTAGGTTAGGTAGCCGAAAAAGTTAGGTTAGGTTAGGTTAGGTAGGTTAGGTAGTCGAAAAACAATTAATTCATGAAAACTTGGCTTATTAGGCAAATCGGGCCTTGTATAGTAGGCTGACAAGTGCGTTCTGGCTACTAGGTACGATATATATATATATATATATATATATATATATATATATATATATATATATATATATATATATATATATATATATATATATATATATATATATATCCCCCCTCCCTCCCTATTAGGATGAAGGAGGCGTTCGTAGAGTTGAATATTCGTATTAAGTCTTGTTGATTCGTGTCGGGTCGGCATACACAAAACATTATAAGTGGTGCGTGTATGGCATACATTGATTGAAAGGTTTATATACACCTCCCAGGGCTGAAATCTGCCTTCACCAACAGCTTTGTGGCTCACTAAGTCCAAACGTCCAGGGTTTTTTCGTGGTGGATTTACAGTATTTAGTACTGAATAGCTTAGCTAGTTGAGGATAGGATAGCTTAACTAGTTTAGGATAGCAGAGCTCTGCTGGGAGAGGACAGGTTATCTTGGTTATAATAGGATTTTATAGATATCTAAAGCACTCTCTGGTATGTTGCACAGAAGGTCATGCTTAGGCATAGCAAAATTACCATTTGGGGTCCCATCTTGTATGATATCACATTTCATTGTATAATATACACAATGATCTTGTGTATATCACAACTATGAATACACCTCATTACACAATTGCGTATGTTATACATATATTGATCATTCATCAATCTGCTGTGACTGATGAATACCTGCTACTATACACAACCCGTCATACAGTATACACAACCCGTCCTCTTACCCAATTCGTCGCAAATACAAAATTAACCAAATGGTTACAAATGCGACGTATTAGTACAAAATAAAGTACGTTAATGTTGATGTTTATCGTGCATGTTGGTCTCTCTAGGTTAGGGGGGTTGATTGGGTTCGTATGTTTAGGGTAAAACACAAACAGTGACAAACAATGACAAACAGTGACAATAGAGTAACAACAGAGCGACGTTATCGTTGTCTCCCATTCCGAAACCTGTACATCTTTTCCTGAATTAAACCGGCTTAGTTTGCACCTAGTTAACCAGTTTACGAACTAGGCGACGCTACGAGAATGCCTTCTCGTTGATGGAGACAGGCTCGTAGTGCTTCGAAGCTCTTAGACTGTTTAATCAAATAGGTTACCAATTACAGCTGGGTGAATAGGGGGCGAACAGTTGAAGATTGGCCCGCCCAGTCAATCCTCCCTGACCAGGCCTCGAACCCAAAGTAAATCGGGGCGCTGGGTGAGTTACCACTACGCCACCCCGAGGACAAGTTGAAATGCCACCAACTCGTCCCAATTCCCACGTGAGAGTAGAGGCCTTGCAAGTCAGTGTTGCAGATCAATGTTGCAAGTCATCGCCCTCTCTGGCGACGTCTTGCAATGGCAGGGTCCCCTCCCCCCCCCCCCGTTACCCCTGGGTAGACCCTGAACCCACGGTTACCTGAGCTGGGGAGGTGTGGGGCGGGTGCTACCTACCCCCTCTCTCTCTCTCTCGCTGGCCTTGTGGTCAGAATGATCTAAAAACCTGTTTCGGCATAGTGTGAACTCATAGTTATGTCACACACACACACACACACACACACACACACACACACACACACACACACACACACACACACACACACACACACACACACACACACACACACACACATCTTAATTAAGGTTAGAGTAGCAATGACGTACATGGGTGCATAGTTTTCTCAGGTCTTAGACCCTACTCTTGATGATGTTGTAAACCATGAGAAGGTTATACTCGTTTTCTGTTGGCAGTATATCCGTTTTCTGTTGACAGTATACCCGTTTTCTGTTGATAGTATACCCGTTTTCTGTTGACAGTATACCCGTTCTCTGTTGGCAGTATACCTGTTCTCTGTTGACAATATACCCTTTTTCTGTTGACAGTGTACCCGTTTTCTGTTGACAGTGTACCCGTTCTCTGCTGAAAGTATACCAATTTTCTGTTGACAGTATACCCGTTCTCTGTTGGCAGTATACCCGTTCTCTGTTGACAGTATATCCGTTTTCTGTTGACAGTACACCCGTTTAATGTTGATAGTATACCCTTTCTCTGTTGACAGTATACCCGTTCTCTGTTGACGGTATACCCGTTCTCTGTTGACGGTATACCCGTTCTCTGTTGACAGTATACCCGTTCTCTATTGACGGTATACCCGTTCTCTGTTGACAATATACCCGTTCTCTGTTGACAGTATACCCGCTCTCTGTTGACAGTGTACCCGTTTTCCGTTGACAATATTTTACGTTCTCTGTTGACAGTATACCCGTTCTCTGTTGACAGTATACCCGTTCTCTGTTGACAGTATACTCGTTCTATGTTGACAGTATACCCGTTCTCTATTGACAGTATACCCATTCTCTGTTGACAGTATACCCGTTTTCCGTTGACAGTATACCCGTTTTCCGTTGACAGTATACCCGTTCTCTGTTGACAGTATACCCGCTCTCTGTTGACAACATACCCGTTCTCTAGTCTACCCTGGGGGCAACAGGGCCCACCAGTAGTGCGACGGTTCACCAACAGAGGGCAGCATATCTCGGACCACACTCATATACAGCATATACACGCGAGATATACCCCATTTCTAGGTTTATATATACTAAAAGGTATATTTATTTTTAGTCCTTGACTCTGTTCAGTATTAAATTATTCTCGCTGATTAGTTAATGAGTTCTTGGATGGTCTCAGTATCCCTGCAGAGGTTCGTCTAGGTCTTAATATTGAAGGCTATTGCTTCACTATTAAGTAGTGAATGTCCAAATTGTGTTCAAAATGTCCAAATTTTTTTTCAAAATGTCCAAGTTTTGTTCAAAGTTTTCAAATTTTGGACAAACTTGTCAAAGTTTGGACAAAATATGTCCAAATTTTGTTCAAAATTTTCAAATTTTGGACAAAATATGTTCTAATTTTGTTCAAAATTTTCAAATTTTGGACAAAATATATTCAAATTTTGGACAAAATGTCCAAATTTTTTTCAAAATATTTAAATTTTGGACAAAATATGTCCTAATTTTGTTCAAAATGTCAAAGTTTTGTTCAAAACGTCTGAGTTTTGTTCAAAATGTCAAAATTTTTGGGTCCCGTGCATATGAAGTGTTAAAAATGTTTGGATTGCAGAAGGTCTATTGTCTGATTTGTTGAAAAATCTATGAGTTTGACACTTTTCATTTTTTTTTAAAGGTTTCATTGAAAACAGAAATGAAAGTTTGCCTGTTGTAGAAGAAACGTCTGGTTTTACATGTTGTTTGTATGCTATTACTGCAAGCAATCAATAACACCAGTGAAAGCAACTCAAGTTGTCATTTTCACGCTCAATATATTTGAGATGTTGGTATGCCTGTTGTTGTTTGTAAACAAAACATGCTTCTGAGATGTGTGTATGCTGCACAACAGCACACCACTGCTAACTGCATGGTTATCAACGCCATACTGGGAATTATATACAACCACAATCACTACAAACGCCAGTGGCATCAAGTCTCGATTTCAATAATGTTTGTTAAGTCGGTCAGTTAATTTGTTAAAGGGAGCCGGTCGGCCGAGCGGACTGCACACTGGACTTGTGATCCTGTGGTCCTGGGTTCGATCCCAGGCGCCGGCGAGAAACATTGGGCAGAGATTCTTTCACCCTATGCCCCCTGTTACCTAGCAGTAAAATAGGTACCTGGGTGCTAGTCAGCTGTCACGGGCTGCTTCCTGGTGGGTGGAGGCCTGGTCGAAGACCGGGCCGCGGTGACACTAAAAAGCCCCGAAATCATCTCAAGATAACCTCAAGATAACCTCAAGATAAGTCAGCAAATCAATGTCGCAACGGGAGAAAAAATCAGTGTAGGGATTTTTGTCTGATGGAGGAGGGGGTGTGGGGATGTACAGGGGTATGATGTACAGGGGTATGATGTACAGGGGTATGATGTACAGGGGTATGATGTACAGTGGTATGATGTACAGGGGTATGATGTACAGGGGTATGATGTACAGGGGTATGATGTACAGGGGTATGATGTACAGGGGGTATGATGTACAGGGGTATGATGTACAGGGGTATGATGTACAGGGGTATGATGTACAGGGGTATGATGTACAGGGGTATGATGTACAGGGGGTATGATGTACAGGGGTATGATGTACAGGGGTATGATGTACAGGGGTATGATGTACAGGGGTATGATGTACAGGGGTATGATGTACAGGGGTATGATGTACAGGGGGTATGATGTACAGGGGTATGATGTACAGGGGGTATGATGTACAGGGGTATGATGTACAGGGGTATGATGTACAGGGGTATGATGTACAGGGGGTATGATGTACAGGGGTATGATGTACAGGGGTATGATGTACAGGGGTATGATGTACAGGGGTATGATGTACAGGGGTATGATGTACAGGGGTATGATGTACAGGGGTATGATGTACAGGGGTATGATGTACAGGGGTATGATGTACAGGGGTATGATGTACAGGGGGTATGATGTACAGGGGTATGATGTACAGGGGGTATGATGTACAGGGGGTATGATGTACAGGGGTATGATGTACAGGGGTATGATGTACAGGGGTATGATGTACAGGGGTATGATGTACAGGGGGTATGATGTACAGGGGTATGATGTACAGGGGTATGATGTACAGGGGGTATGATGTACAGGGGTATGATGTACAGGGGTATGATGTACAGGGGGTATGATGTACAGGGGTATGATGTACAGGGGGTATGATGTACAGGGGGTATGATGTACAGGGGTATGATGTACAGGGGTATGATGTACAGGGGTATGATGTACAGGGGTATGATGTACAGGGGTATGATGTACAGGGGTATGATGTACAGGGGTATGATGTACAGGGGTATGATGTACAGGGGTATGATGTACAGGGGGTATGATGTACAGGGGTATGATGTACAGGGGTATGATGTACAGGGGTATGATGTACAGGGGTATGATGTACAGGGGTATGATGTACAGGGGTGACTGACCTGTAGCGAGGCTGACAACGACCCCTACCACCAGGCCTACCATCATGCCCAGGGGCCCCAGCTGGGTGTAGGAGAGACCTAGCATCTTCTGCGGGTACTGCAGGTCAGAAACTCTGTGACAGGAGAGAATAAATCATTATACACATTGGATAACAGATGGGATTCAGTGCGGTGTATCGACACACACAATCTTGGTAAAAAGTTTATTGGAAACCAAGCTTTTAGGCTATATTAGGTTTTAGTACACTGGTTTGGCTAAGTGGAAAGTTCTGGGTTCGAATCATGAGCCTGCTGGGAGGATTTGGGTATTGTTTCATCATTCTAATCATCCCTGTCCACTCGGGATCTGATCAATCATTTGGCGAATCGTGCTGAGGATAAGGTTTTCAATTAATGTGCTGCAGGGAGAGAGGTGATTACCCATTACTCTATAACATACAATGGTACAAAATATTAATATACAATGGTAACAAATATTATATAAATAACTCAATACGCAATGCCACCATGCCATACACAGCAAGTACAATACAAAATATATATATATATACACTCAGAGAACACGTTGCATTAACGAGGCTGCAACAAACAACCCACACATGTGACAGTAAACAAATCAAATTGGCAACATTTCGGTCCATCCTGGACTCTCAAAAGTCATCATGAGAGCCCAGAACGAACCGAAACGTCGGCACTGTAATTTCTTATATGTGTAAGACAGTTTGTTTCAGCCATGTTATTGTGACCAATTCCAGCACCATATAGCACGTATATTTTCAAAAATACGAAATGTCTCTGTTCAACTAATTCTGATAGTGTAGATCTTTTAATTTAGTCACTATACCTGAGTGGGATAGTGTCCTTGGGTGGAGGGATGGTGAGGTTGGCCGGACAGGCGTCAGTGGAGGTGGGCAGCAGCTCCGGTTTGAGACCAATGGCCGTGGCCCCGAAGCTGAAGCTCAACGCTACCCCGGTACCCACGATCAGCGCCGTGCAGGCTCCCTGCCAACACATGGGGCACAGTGAGGCAAGGTAGACACAGGTAGATACCTACCAACACATGGAGGCACAGTGAGGGAAGGTAGACGGGTAGACACCTACCAACACATGGAGGCACAGTGGGGGAAGGTAGACAGGTAGACACCTACCAACACATGGAGGCACAGTGAGACAAGGTAGACACAGGTAGATACCTACCAACACATGGAGGCACAGTGAGGGAAGGAAGACAGGTAGATACCTACCAACACATGGAGGCACAGTGAGGGAAGGTAGACGGGTAGACACCTACCAACACATGGAGCACAGTGAGGGAAGGTAGACGGGTAGACACCTACCAACACATGGAGCACAGTGAGGGAAGGTAGACGGGTAGATACCTACCAACACATGGAGGCACAGTGAGACAAGGTAGACACAGGTAGATACCTACCAACACATGGTGAAGTATAGTGACATACATGGTGAAGTATAGTGACATACATGGTGAAGTATAGTGACATACATGGTGAAGTATAGTGACATACAGCACAATCCGTAAGTATTTGAACAGTGTCACAATATTCGCCGTACTGGCTCGGTAATCCAGCACACTGGATTGTAAATAAAACAAATTTCTATGATGCTAAAATGTAAATTTTCAGCTTTAATCCATATGGGGGGGCGACTCTTGCAGCCCCCCCCCCCTCTGTAGAACCCCCAACTGATTGCCCTGATCGGTAGAGGGACGGTCTCGCTTTTTCCTGTATCGACGTTCGATTCCCGATGGTCCAAGCGGTTGGACGCCGTTCCTGGGCTCCGTCCTCATATTCCAGCTCCTTGTCTTAATAACTTTTCCAAGTGTTATATTGTCCTACTAACTTAGCACTTTCTTCTAGTTATCTCCTTCCTTTCACACTGTTGAAGACCAAATGTAATTGAAATTAAATTGTTCAGTGGTTTCTGGGCCATGTACGTGTAGGTGAATAGTTAGTTCATGCACAGTAGATGTATGAATTAATGTGCAGTTTTTATGTCAATCACCCGGCCTGGGGCCAGATTCATGAAGCAGTTACGCAAGCACTTACGAACCTATACATATTTTTTTAATCTTTGGCGGCTTTGTTTACATTTATTAAACAATGAGCTCCGAAGCACCAGGAGGCTGTTTATAACAATACCAACAGTTGATTGGCAAGTTTTCATGCTTGTAAACTGTTTAATAAATGTAACCAAAGCCATCAAAGATTGAGGTTAAGATGTACACGTTCGTAAGTGCTTGCGTAACTGCTTCGTGAATCTGGCCCCTGGATCCACAGAGCATGTGGGTTTTACTTGATGATGACACGATCGAAGGGAAGACTGCTACAAAACAGAGAGGCCCTGTAAATGGTCGCAATACAGGCCTGAAAGATCTCCTGCGGAAGACACCCAGCGTCTAGCGATGTCTTTGGCTGGCAGACTTAAGATAGACATTGCATGGAAATTATTAGCAAACTAGGGATTAATATGACAACTTTATTTACGAGTATGTTAATGAGTTCAATTAGTTTTGGTTCCCTGAAATGCGGGGAAGACTATGTATAAAAAGTATTTGAATTTCTACACCCGATATGGATGTAAATACCCTCAAATGAAAGTTGAAAATCTGAATTTTAACCTCATAGGCATTTTTGTTGACCAAACCACACACTAGAAAGTGAAGGGACGACGACGTTTCGGTCCGTCCTGGACCATTCATAATCGACTTAAGAATGGTCCAGGACGGACCGAAACGTCGTCGTCCCTTCACTTTCTAGTGTGTGGTTTGATCAACATATTTCAGCCACGTTATTGTGACTCCTCGTCTGCACATAGGCATTGTCTCTTTTCAAATACAATGTACTGGGAAACAGAGTCGCCACAGCAAACCTTGTGTCACTCTCAAGAAAACTTATAGAAGACATTCTACACAGCGTTTTGAAGGCATCCTTCTGATAGATTCTGATAGATATCCTCATGTTGACCAACTTAGCACATGTTTTGGGGTGGTGTAGTGGTCAGTGCCTTCGTTCTCTTGCTTCGCCAGTAAGAATGACCTTAATTTGATCCCAGGCAGAGTGGAACGATTGGGCACTGTTCTTTCATTATCCGCTCCCAGTACATCTATCAGCAATCGTGGCTCTACATGTTAACAAATATTGCCGAACCGAATTTTAGAGAAAACGTCCGGCTGACACGATTACTGTACCGGAAACTGCTTTAAATCTCAACATCAGCAACAGAGACGCAAAGGGGAAGCTTGTTTGTGCAATGATCTGCTCATTTTCAACTACAGGACTATTGCATCACTATAGAATTAACACAGAATGTTACCCTGTTCCATACCTTAGAATTTAGAGACGGGACATGTGTTCCTCAGGTGCCATACCTTAGAATTTAGAGACGGGACATGTGTTCCTCAGGTGCCATACCTTAGAATTTAGAGACGGGACATGTGTTCCTCAGGTGCCATACCTTAGAATTTAGAGACGGGACATGTGTTCCTCAGGTGCCATACCTTAGAATTTAGAGACGGGACATGTGTTCCTCAGGTGCCATACCTTAGAATTTAGAGACGGGACATGTGTTCCTCAGGTGCCATACCTTAGAATTTAGAGACGGGACATGTGTTCCTCAGGTGCCATACCTTAGAATTAGTGAAGGGCATAAACAGAGCCATGAGGAACACCGCCAGCAGAGGTCCGGCCACGGAGGAGGTGACAGCGATGGCTGCCTGAAGAACTCCTCCCAAGTTCCCCGCCAGGAAGGCCAGACCCACCGCCAGGAACCCATAACCCAGAGCTGAGGATACAGAAGGGTCAGGTGTTAGCGCAAATATATATATATTTAAGACGCCGTGTGATGCTCTATTTTACGGGTTATTCGTGCCCGTGCCATCTCTTGGGTGGCTTAGTCTTCGTCAATCAGTCAATTGATGATCTCTCCATCTTGTTCCGAACCAAAGCAGCAACTATCCACTGATGGCGGGAACCTATTTGAAATCTACAACATGCATGTTAAGCAATATTAATATGGGATGGAACTTAACACTACATAGTGAGAAGTGAGAGGCTAAAAAGAGCTAATATTCCAGAAGAGGAAAAAGAAGTGACTGTTCTTTGATCTGTGAGAACTTGAGTGACTCGCTATATTAAGTGACCTTGATAGAGATCATAGTTCTTCAAATCACGATTCTCCAAGGATTGTGATGCATCAAAGCTTAGCAACAGAGACGTATTGCACAATGCAACCTTCCCCCCCCCCCCCACACACACACACACACCCGCGAGCACTTCCATGCAACCCTCAGACCTCCTCCAACTCCTCCAAGCCTCGTCCCCTCTCCCATCCAACCCACACAACTGCCCTATGCTCGTCCCCTAACCATACACAGCTATCCAGGACAGCCCCCACGATCTGTTGATATAGAATATATATATATATATATATATATATATATATATATATATATATATATATATATATATATATATATATATATATATATATATATATATATATATATATACAATATCTTTCTAAATCTAAGTTAAATGTCACTCATTTTATGCCTGAAATGTAATTTTTTATTTAGATTGCTATTCACCTTATTTTTTAGTGTAGCCAGGACTGATATAACTTGTATAAGTTGTCACCAATTAAGTTTCTGATTCTGATAGTGGCAATGTCTACGTGTTGTTCTGTTCTTGTGACTTTCTTATGTCCTTGCTGTGCTGTACTTTTATGTAAACTTTCCTAGTTATAAATGTTCTACCATTTATGAACAAAGTTCTTCAGCTGATATGGCTCGTCACACCCCGCACCTCTCCGAACCCACCTGGCTATCACCCTTACACACTTCCAACCCCCCAAGCAAGCCCAGTGGTTTCCCCAACCCTCCAAGCAAGCCCTTTAGCTTCCCCAACCCTTCAAGCAAGCCCCCCTGCCTTCTTCAACCCTCCAAGCAAGCCCTTTAGCTTCCCCAACCCTTCAAGCAAGCCCCCCTGCCTCCCCCAACCCTCTAAGCAGCACCCCCCTCCCCCTGGGACTCCAACCCTCCAAGCAAGCCTTTTGGCTTCCCCAACCCCCTAAGCAAGCCCTCCCCCTGGCTTCCCCAACCCCCCAAGCAAGCCCTCCCCCTGGCTTCCCTAACCCCTCATTCGTAGGCTTCCTCAGCTCTATTGACCTGATGTGTTTTGTAGCTGAATATGTTATATTTTTTCCCTCCATTTGTCCATGGCTGTTGATAAGTATCAGGCCGAGGCGTCTCTATGTAAGTTGGTGAGTGTCTCTGTAAGACACCACATGGACTGTCGGGGATTGAACGCCGACCTGCATGAAGCGAGACCGTCGCTTTATCGTTCAGTTCAAGTGGCTGGCAGAGCGTTCATATTGAACTCTTTTTTAATAAGTTTATAAAAATGACTTGAAAAGCTTAATCTGTGATTACACTTACAATAATAATTTCAGTTTTAAATTATGTATTTCCTCAGTCCCTCACCCATTGAGTGAAGGACTTGTGAGGTGGTTCAGTCCCCGAGGTCGAGGTGGTTGGGCACTGTACCCTCATTCCATCCTTATATCCCAGATCCTTGTCCTCATATCGACTGATTGATGAAGATTAAGAGACCCAAGTGGTGGCACGGGCATGAATAGCCCGTAATCCTCATTTCTTTTCCATATACTATATATAGTGTCGTGTTTTCTCCCGATAGTAGTGCCTTGGTCGCGGGTTCGAGTCAGCTACGACCTCCAGTTGATGTTGTCTCTCTCCCGAGAATTACCATACCAACCACGACCTAACCTAACCTAACCTAACCTCTCATAAAGTACAGAGCAAGTTTCTCTTCCGCGACACAGAAGTAATAAAGATGTCTTAAAGACAAAAATCAGGATTTCTGATTTAATAAGAAGATTGTTTACATAACATCCAGAACAAAACAGTTAACAGTCTTCTCTTTCAGCTACAATACAAAAAACAATTGCATCTAAACCTATTTATTTTACAATGTTCACAATATGTTCTTTCCTGTAAAGGTTCAGAGGATCAGAATTTTAACTAGGAATCTCTATGACGCAGCCGAATTTTGATATTAATATTTTGGGTACTTTTTGTATTTTAAGTAAGATAACAAAAACAGTTCTTGTTTATCGAAATTATTTATTATCTCTCTCTCTCTCTCTCTCTCTCTCTCTCTCTCTCTCTCTCTCTCTCTCTCTCTCTCTCTCTCTCTCTCTCTCTCTCTCTCTCTCTCTCTCTCTCTCTCTCTCTCTCTCTCTCTCTCTCTCTCTCTCTCTCTCTCTCTCTCTCTCTCTCTCTCTCTCTCTCTCTCTCTCTCTCTCTCTCTCTCTCTCTCTCTCTCTCTCTCTCTCTCTCTCTCTCTCTCTCAGTAATTCGACATTCTCATTTCGAAAGCCCTAACGCAACAAAACACACACACACACACATACACACACACACACACATTGGGGTGTCTGGTAGCTGAGTCGACAGCGCGCAGGACTCGCAATTCTGTGGTCCAGGTTCGATTCCCGGACCAGGCAGAAACAAATGTGCAAAATTTCTTTCACCCTGATGTCCCTGTTACCTAGCACTAAATAAGTACCTGGGAGTTAGACAGCTGTTACGGAGCTGCTTCCTGTGTGTGTGGGTGTGGGGGGAAATAGTAGTTAGTAACAGTTGATTGACCGTTGAGAGGAGGGCATAAAGAGCAGAGCTCAACCCCCGCAAACACAACTAGGTGAATACACACAAACACACAAACACACACACACACACACACACACCCTTGTGCGTGACTAAATGCCGTTCCCAGCACGGCGTCAGGTCCGTGCCGCGCTCAACCACCAGAACTTTAGAATGTACTAAAGCCACGAGCCTCGTTGTGCACGCTAACAGACAAGTCACGCTGAGCCTGGTCAAACAGGAGGAATTTGTACCGCGTTAGACACGCCGAGGTACCATATATCCCGGCGGTGTACCTGTGTTGGTGAGTGGGGGCTACATGAGCCAGATAAGATCAGGGGGGAGCTACATCAACACTACATCACCTAATGTTACACAGCCTGAGTGAATGACATCACTGGGTGGGTTGATGTCACTGCTATAAACCGAGTGAGATGTGAGAGTCATGACCCAGTTGACCGGGCGCTTGCAAAGTGACTTCATGAATATCAAAATGGATGGCATGATGTTATAGGTTAAGAGTATGGTGGCTCAGCTTTCTCTCCCTCTTGTCCGCACGCGCGCGCACGCGCACACACACACACACACACACACACACACACACACACACACACACACACACACACACACACACACACACACACACACACACACACACCACTCACACGGCATGGAGCATACAACAGTTTGATGGCTCTTCTTTGACCCAGAGGGAAGATATCCCTCGGGTTAGACTACAGTTACCCTCTTCACCTTAAATGTAACTCGGCAGTTACAACAACAATCAAGGGATAAGATAATTGTACAACAATTAAAGATTATTCTCAAGAACACGAGTGAAGGGGTGATGTAAACCCCATCTATATACACACTAATATGTACAAATTTGTACATGTGTACAAATAGATCCACAATTTTCAAACCTATGAGAAATATAATAAATATAAGTGATGATTATTTGTATAGATTTTATGCTAATTATATGAGATTATTTCCAAATATAATGAACATTCGTAGACTTACCCAGAAACTTGGTGAACCAGGCTTGTGCGGTGCTGGACAGTTTAGCGAATCTCGGTATTTTAGCGAAGGCGTCTTCCCAGGTCACTGCTGCCTGCGAGTTGACCCCGGAAGAGATGGTACTGAGGGGTGGAGGTCAAAGGTCACTGTATAAAGGCTACCTCTAGGTGAACAGGGGGTTCTAAAATCAGTTACGGGCTATTCATGCCCGTGCCACCTCTTGGGGTGGCTTAATCTTCATCAATCAATCAATCTAAGATCAGCTTGCGTGGAGAGAATTCTCTAATTAGGAAGGAAAGGAATTAAAGATCACTTAGCAACTGTTAATTAACACACACTAATGTCAATCCTTACATCAAATGCGTTCATTAACTTACATTCATTAACTTTAAACCGACTCACAGTCGGTTTAAAAACATACTAAAATTTCATAATTTCATTAACTTTACGTTTTTGATCATTGAAGTGTTATTATCTTGTGACATGTGGTGGGAGAGACACCAAGTATGTCACAAGAGAAGACAAAATTGTCTCCAAACACCTAGCAGCAATCTGGCTGTCATTCTCCCGTACACAGTGACTGTACATGAAAACTCTGCACCGTACCATGTAGAGGACTGTGTCACCTCATAGTAGATAAATTGTGATGTCCCTGGGATTCTTATCAAGTCCGTCTGGGACCTTTATCAAGTCCGTTTTGTCCCTGGACTCTTATCAAGTCCGTTTTGGTCTTCTTTCAAATCCGTTTTGTCCCTAGACCCTTATCAATTCCGTCTCGGACCTTTATCAAGTCTGTTTTGGACCCTTATCAAAACCATCGTCAACACTCATTACGTCCATCCTGAAGCCATATAAAGACCGCCCTGGATTCTCATTACGTCTGACCTGGACCCTTATCAAGACCACCTTGGACCTTGAACGAGTCTTGGACGGACTGAGACATCGTCACCTCACGTTCCTCTCACGTGTGTGTGGGTCCAGACACGTTATTGTACCTTCTTCTCTGTGTAGAATGAGTGAACGGGCCAAGCAACGTCTCTACCACCTACCTGAGGGCGCCGGAGAAGATGCAGGCGACGAAGAGGCCCGGGAGCCCAGGAGCTGAGCTCAGGCGGTCCATGACGAAGAAGGGAAGGATCTGGTCCTTCTTAGTAATGAGACCCGCCGCCAAGGGGTCGCATCCCTCGTACGTCGCAAACATCACCAGACCTGTGGAGTGACATCATAACGTCAGTGGTGTACGTCAACACAGTCAGTGCGTCAGTGTCTGCACGTTTAGATTCTAGACGTTGCTAGCCATAACAGTATTGGTTTGGACAAGGTCATATGTGGCTAATTAGAAACCACACACTTGAAATTGAAGGGACGACGGCGTTTCGGTTCTTCCTGGACCATTCTCAAGTCGATTGTGAGAATGGTCCAGGACGGACCGAAACGTCGTCGTCCCTTCACTTCTTAGTGTGTGGTTTGGTCAAAATATTTCAGCCACGTTATTGTGACTCCTCGTCTGAATCTGGATAAAAATGTTAGTTTCTAACTAACCAATCTTGAAGATTTGAGTCTATGGGGAAAATTATAATCACAATAACTTGGCTGGAACAAATAATCGAGGAAACAAGAGGTATAAATGTTCTTGTTCATGTTCTCATGACAAGTGGGAGTTCATGCTTTTCGTCTCTGTTTATTTTCACTTTCCCTCCCTTCACCTTCCCTCCCCCTCACCTTCTCTCCCCTCACCTTCCCTCGCATTGTTATATAGACTGTCTCTCCCACTCCTACCCATTCACAGCACCACTCCTGGGCCAAGGTAAGTCCACTACGGGCTCACCATAGCCCGTGCTACTTGGAACTTTTTGTTCCAAGTAGCGAATCTTAAACAACAAACTCCTACTCACTTGATAAGGGGTCCAGATCGGACCAAAAAGTCCTCAATTTCCCCTCCTGTGTGTTTGTTGATATACTTGATTGTCACTACAATATCTTAAACAGTGTTCAAGGAACAGAAAGGAAATTTTGTACACAAAACCTAGGATAGATTAGATGTTCACTGGCTCGTCGTGTGTAGTTATACTCTGGCTTTGAAATGAATGAAACGTGACTGGAACCGTGGATTCCAGCAGCATTGCATTGTGGATTCAGTGGATGTGGATACAGTGGATTCAGGTAGCATTGGATCAGATGATGGAGTGCTTGAAAGGGAACTCCATGGAGGAGAATGAGCACTGGAGTCACCGGATCTCACAGGATTTGGTGTAAAGAAGGCCAGATGAAGGAAAAGATTCGTAAGATCAGGTGAGAGGAAGTGTCGGTAATGAGATCAGGTAAGATGGTGCCTCTCTACTACCCAGATCATTGATATCACCTGTCAATCAATACATCACGCCCGTGATACCTGCATAACGTGACCTCATGGTGTTTGACCTTAGCTTCCAAATGTGGCAAGAAAATTGGTTACCACACCACCACACACCTCCATTATGCCTGGAGACAGAGATACCTCATGTCTTAGTAGCAATCATGGTGAGGGAACAATCTCATGTCTTATCAGCGATCATGGTGAGGGAACAATCTCATGTCTTACCAGCAATCATGGTGAGGGAACAATCTCATGTCTTACCAGCGATCATGGTGAGGGAACAATCTCATGTCTGACCAGCGATCATGGTGAGGGAACAATCTCATGTCTTACCAGCAATCATGGTGAGGGAACAATCTCATGTCTTACCAGCAATCATGGTGAGGGAACAATCTCATGTCTTACCAGCGATCATGGTGAGGGAACAATCTCATGTCTGACCAGCGATCATGGTGAGGGAACAATCTCATGTCTTACCAGCGATCATGGTGAGGGAACAATCTCATGTCTTACCAGCGATCATGGTGAGGGAACAATCTCATGTCTTACCAGCGATCATGGTGAGGGAACAATCTCATGTCTTACCAGCGATCATGGTGAGGGAACAATCTCATGTCTTACCAGCAATCATGGTGAGGGAACAATCTCATGTCTTACCAGCGATCATGGTGAGGGAACAATCTCATGTCTTACCAGCGATCATGGTGAGGGAACAATCTCATGTCTTACCAGCGATCATGGTGAGGGAAATAAGCAGGGTGAAGAAAGGAATCACCAGGAAGATGGACCTGAAAAGATAAAAAAAAAGTTTAAATGTATTCAAAATGTAAGAAATATTATCTCTAGTCTTGTCAAAGACGTGTTTGAAAGCACCTATACGTGTTTCCATATGCCTTTTCTTCCTGCTTACTGGCAAGACTTTTTTCCAGCTCACAAGACTTTTTCGTCCAGCTTACAGAGAAGACTTTTTCGTCCAGCTTACTGAGAAGACTTTTTCGTTCAGCTTACTGATAAGACGTTTTCGTCCAGCTTACTGAAAAAACTTTTTCCTCCAGCTTACTTACAAGAATTTTTCTCTAATTCTTTAACAAGTTTTCCATTCCAGTTTACCGAAGACAAAAACCCTTCTTGTCTTCCCTGATGTACATGTTTCAAACAAAATTCCGTACCAGTTTGATATGAACATTCAGAAACGTACACTTCAGTATGGCATCACCATACTTCAAGCTCAATAATTCCCAGTCCAACACAAACACCTTAACTACAAGTGGGTTGTTAACTCCACCTCAAGCATAGATAATTAACACTAGTCCTGTGTAATTGGTACAGGTTATCCCTGTATTATTATCTTACACAAATAGGTACGACTTGCGTTCAGTATTTACAATAATTAGTGTAAATATTGCCATGTGCTTCAGTGTTTGATGGTAAAATTATATTGCGTTTGCTCTTCAAGAAACCTCGCATTTACGTGTTCTAAACTTGTTTCTGTGCATTATAACTGTTTAAAATGCCATTAACGTTGACCATGTGAAGCTGAAGCATCCCAGAGTGCAGTTGCAACTAAGAACCCCAGTATGCAGCTACAGTTGCAACCCCAAAATGCTACAGAATTGATTTGCAACCCCAAAATGCTACAGAATTGATTTGCGACCCCAAAATGCTACAAGTATTGATTTGCAACCCCCAAAATGCTACAAGTATTGATTTGCAACCCCCCAAAATGCTACAGAATTGATTTGCAACCCCCAAAATGCTACAGTATTGATTTGCAACCCCCAAAATGCTACAGAATTGATTTGCAACCCCCAAAATGCTACAGTATTGATTTGCAACCCCCAAAATGATACAGTATTAATTTGCAACCCTCAAAATGCTACAAGTATTGATTTGCAACCCCCAAAATGCTACAAGTATTGATTTGCAACCCCCAAAATGCTACAAGTATTGATTTGCAACCCCCCAAAATGCTACAAGTATTGATTTGCAACCCCCCAAAATGCTACAGAATTGATTTGCAACCCCCAAAATGCTACAGTATTGATTTGCAACCCCCAAAATGATACAGTATTAATTTGCAACCCTCAAAATGCTACAGAATTGATTTCCGACCCCAAAAATGAAGTTTAAAGCCGCAAAACCCAGTATGCCGCTGCAAGTTGGATCTGCGGGCATACACACACATATGTACTCACGCGTAGGCATGAGAGAGGGACTTCATGCTGGCGTAGCGTTGAACAGTTGTCTGCGTACAGGCGTACTGGGACAGCTTCCCGATGATGGAACTGACGACAATGTTAGCTACGGTGTGGCGCTGTAGCGGGTCGTAGCCGTACCTGGAAAGCGAGGGACGGGCGAAGGAGTTTATCACTGGTAACCTGTTCTTGACAATAGCAGCTAGTGAGCATTTGAACACCACAATAAATGAAACTCCAGAAAGCCTATTGATCCATACGCGGCAGCTCCTATTGACCCATACGAGGCAGCTCCTATTGACCCATACGAGGCAGCTCTTATTGACCCATACAAGGCAGCTACTATTGACCCATACGAGGCAGCTCCTATTGACCCATACGAGGCAGCTACTATTGACCCATACAAGGCAGCTACTATTGACCCATACAAGGCAGCTTCTATTGACCCATACGAGGCAGCTCCTATTGACCCATACGCGGCAGCTACTATTGACCCATACAAGGCAGCTACTATTGACCCATACGCGGCAGCTACTATTGACCCATACAAGGCAGCTACTATTGACCCATACAAGGCAGCTACTATTGACCCATACAAGGCAGCTACTATTGACCCATACAAGGCAGCTACTATTGACCCATACAAGGCAGCTACTATTGACCCATACAAGGCAGCTACTATTGACCCATACGCGGCAGCTACTATTGACCCATACGCGGCAGCTACTATTGACCCATACGAGGCAGCTACTATTGACCCATACGCGGCAGCTACTATTGACCCATACAAGGCAGCTACTATTGACCCATACGAGGCAGCTCCTATTGACCCATACGCGGCAGCTACTATTGACCCATACAAGGCAGCTACTATTGACCCATACGAGGCAGATACTATTGACCCATACGCGGCAGCTACTATTGACCCATACAAGGCAGCTACTATTGACCCATACGAGGCAGCTACTATTGACCCATACGCGGCAGCTACTATTGACCCATACAAGGCAGCTACTATTGACCCATACGAGGCAGCTACTATTGACCCATACGCGGCAGCTACTATTGACCCATACAAGGCAGCTACTATTGACCCATACAAGGCAGCTACTATTGACCCATACGAGGCAGCTACTATTGACCCATACAAGGCAGCTACTATTGACCCATACAAGGCAGCTACTATTGACCCATACGAGGCAGCTACTATTGACCCATACGAGGCAGCTACTATTGACCCATACAAGGCAGCTTCTATTGACCCATACGAGGCAGCTACTATTTATATCCACCCAGACTCACACGTGTACACAAGTCCGCTAATCTGCTCCACAGGGCAATAGAATGAACTTGAAATTTGACTAATTACGTCATCTAAGATCATTTCCGAAATTGAGCGTTCGGGCGTCTTGTCCGTACTCCAGAGACGAAGGTCGCTATAAGTGCCATGAATGCAACTAAAAATTGACTGTGGGACTCTAATAAGCACATGTTTTGTGCTACTGGAACTCTTAAAGAACATAACAAGAGCTGAAAGCTCCAAACTATACAATTAACACAGTGAAGATGTAAATAAACAATCCTTGTACTAACCTATGCAATCCTAGGACTAATTTAATACATATATATGTAACATATATGTACTTGGTATATATGTACTTGGAAAGAGTTAAGTTTCGTTGTCTTCTTTCTCTAGCCGTCGTCAAAGTTAAGAACACGAAAGAAATTCTTTATGGAAAGTAGTGTACAAACTGTCTACATTTACAGAAGTTGTGGCTATACGTTGCTATCTCCAGGTCCACAATATTGGCTTTTGATCTTGTGCAAAAATGTGGTTTCATGCAGACTACGGAAGTCTATCATTATGAGGAGGAAGAGCTAAGTCAGTGTGACTATATACCACTTGCAAGGATGTGAGGACGAATATTGAGTCGGGATATGAGGACAAGAAGCTGGGATATGAGGACAAGGAGCTCGGATATTAGGACAAGGAGCTCGGATATTAGGACAAGGAGCTGTGACATGAGGACAAGGAGCTCGGACACGAGGACAAGGAACAGGGATATGAGGACAAGAAGCTGGGATATAAGGACAAGGAGCTGGAATATGAGGACAAGGAACTGAGATATGAGGACAAGGAGCTCAGACAAGAGGACAAAGCGTATAGTATATATTGTATACCCATACCCAAACCGCCAAAGAATCAGACGATCAAACCCAGCCCCTACAAGAAACAAGGCCGTCGCTATTCCTACCAATCCAAGCCAAATTACCAAATTCACAACGCACAAACGACTCAAAACACACACACTGCAGAACACAAACTCACGTGAAGATCTGGGGTCCGGCTCTGTCGTGCTGCACACTAATCTCCCACACGCGTTGGAAGCCGCCCATATCTATGAGGCCCTTGATGATAACTGCGATGAGTCCAATGATGAGGATGAAGAGTTGCAACACATCTGTCCACACCACTGCCTTCATGCCGCCCTGTGTCAAGAGGATAGAATGATGGATATGAGGATAGAATGATTGGACATGAGGATAGAATGAGTGGATATGAGGATAGAATGAGTGGACATGAGGATAGAATGAGTGGATATGAGGATAGAATGAGTGGACATGAGGATAGAATGAGTGCATATGAGGATAGAATGAGTGTTCTCATGACAATTATTAAACGTTTAATTTTCCCTTTGTTTGATTTGGTGTTGGGCTGTCAACCTCTATAGGGCTGTCGAGGCCACCTGCCAACCACAACAGCTTACTGTCAAGCTGGGAAGCATGCTTTACTAACTAATACAGTTCAAACTAAAAATAAAACCTGTAAATACAACGAGAAACAGGAAGTCCCTCAAGCTGCATATAATCAATGGTGCGTTTTTTGTCACTGAATAGCAGTGAAAATGGGAAAAGTAATAAAAGTGGGAGACGTAACAATAGGAGTAAGAACAGGAGTGGGAGTCGTAGCATTAATGGTTAACAAGAAAGCGTGAAGATTCGAGTCGTTCCTGAGAGTACCAGCTAGCTGACCCTCAAAGCATAACCTGGACCTCAACTAGCAACATCTCTAGCTATACTAGGAATAGTAACAACAGCACTAATAGCAACCGTAATGCTACTAGCATTATACCAGTATTAACTCAGTTAATAATCATCATATACCAAAAGGAAATAAGATTATAAATAAGTTAGTCACGAGAAAAAGGAATTTAACAATATTGGGTCAGAGTGCTTTCCACACCTGACCTTGGATACGAAGCCATGGTAATCACGCCGCGGTTCCCACCACACCTGACTTTGACTAGGAAGCAACACTGATTACTGCAACACTGCAGTGTTGCGAAAGCAATGCCTTTAGTGATTGCAGTGCAATAATGGTAGCAACAGTGAGTCTGCAACTTTGCATATCCTGGTTGGAAAGGTTGTTGGACTGAACAAGTATTGCTGGATCCAGCAAGTTGTTATGACTCGACTGACTTACAGAGACGCCTAAATGAATCTATATTGTACTTTTATCTTAAATCTTTCAGCACATTTTAGAACCACGTGGATTGAACTTAGAAAATTCTGTAGCTGATCAACAATAAATCAACTGTTTCGTATCCAATTAAGTTCGTAACGGCGGTTATAGACATCTAGAACTACAAAATTTCTAAGGAAAGCAAAAATTCCTCCAAGAAATTCAACGATCACAAAAGCTAGAAACGTGAACAAGGAGCTAAATAAATCTGAAAATAAATAAACGTGTTCCCATATAAAATGTCTATTGACGGATGTCATGGCTCATATTTTAATGTTAATAATAAAGTAGTTTTGGATTTCTATTTTCTTGTTCGTTGAAATTACCACAGAGTGAACTTCGTGTAAACAGATCTTGGAAAATGCGAACGGTTATACCTTAAAAATAATCCCATACGCGGCTTTTGTTGACCTGGACGTGTGTGTGTGTGTGTGTGTGTGTGTGTGTGTGTGTGTGTGTGTGTGTGTGTGTGTGTGTGTGTGTGTGTGTGTGTGTTTTAATTTCAACGCGTTGATAGATAGTAATCCAAACCAATTTCCTTTTTAAGGCTGAAATTTCTATCGAATCTAAAACAGACAAATATAGAGCTTGAGTAAAGGATGCAAATGTAAACAAATCGTATTCAAGGCCATCCTTTGTGAGTGTGTGGCCGCAATGGCTTGACTTGAATGTGGGTAGTTTGATGACAAGACAATTTCACAATTGACGACAAGTTCACGAACAGGACATAGATTTAACGACTGCCTATTGTCCTTGGAACTTACAAAAGCTGTGTAGACGGAGGCTATGACGCCGACGGTGATGACGGAGACCCAGAGGGGGAAGTCGGTGACGGAGGCGAGGGCGAGGGCCGGGGCGTAGATGACCACAGCTTGGTACAGCAACATCTGGATCACAAACATGCCCCCAGCCACGCTCCTCACCCAGCGGGAGGCGTACCGCAGCTCCAAGTACTGTGGACAACCACGCTTCAAGCTGATGACCAAGCTTATGGTATTATTCACTCATCCCAGCAAACACAAAACGTTTGTGGACGTTATTAAATGGTGCCACAAAGGTAATTCTGTAACTGTTGAACTAAATACGTATTTATGACGTCCTTAAAACCATTAGAGATAACTAAAAACATATATGCATTCTTAGATTAAGCTCACACAACCACTTCATATTACTGCAATGATGCAACTTAATCACTGGCATATATGTGTGTAACCAAAATACATTACCTCATAAACTGATGTAAGTTTGAGCTCATAGAAGAAAGGCATGAAGACAATAGCTGCCACAGGCAAGGCGACTTGACCGCAGCAGATGACCCACCATTGGACGCCATGGTAGTAGGCCTCAGAGGGCCCCCCTGAACCACCAGGAGACACAAGGCGTTAGACAAGTTGTTAGGGGAACCTGGTTCGTATGTGCTTGCGTAACGGCTTCGTGAATCTGGCCCCTGGGCCTTTAAATAAGCTTAAATCTTTATAAAAGTGAAGGAAACAGTAAAGGTATATTACAATTGATTTAGTGACTGGAATATATTGTTCTGTTCACAATGAATGCTAAATAATGTGATCCATCTAAAAAAGATTTTGAGAGGGTACGATGGAATCGAACCTGCGTCCGGGCACTCCTCAGACCTCAATGTATGTGTGTGTGTCTGAGGAGCTCAGGGACGCTGGTTCAATCTCATTCAACGGCTTCAATATTTCCTCACATAGCTCTATCTTCATTCTGACTTGTCTTGTAATCTGATTGCTCTGATTAATATTTTCCATACAGAGCAATATATCTGCAAACAGAATTAAATAATTTATTGCACACCAGTTTTTATTAATTGTACGAATTAATTATAGTTTTGTGATATGTGGGAGGTTGTTTAGCACCAGTGAAGGATTGGTTCTCACCCAGGAGACGGGAAGGAATTATCACGCGGGAAAGCACCAAGCCATTACGACTCTATAGCACTTGCAAGGGGTCAGATTTGGGATGGGACGGGTGGAAGGAATGGTGCCCAAGTACTTGGACGGTCGGGGATTGAACGCTAACCTGCATGAAACTAGATCGTAGCTCTACCCTCCGAAGTAGGAAGAAGGGAAGGAGATAAACTCAGGTCCGCGGACACTTACCCAGGACCAAAATGGCGGAGATGTAGGAGGCGAGGAGTGACATGGACACCGGGAAGCAGGTGAGGCTTCGACTCCCCAGGAGGAACTCATCGTTGGCCTTATGGCGACTCTTGACGGCGTAGAAGATCCCGATGGCCAAGGACGCCACCAGCATCACGCTGAAGACCAGGTAGTCCACCCAGGTGAAGCTTCCACGAACTCCCGACGCCCAGTCGAAGCTCGACTCCAACATTTTAGTATATTTGTTGTGTTAAAAAGTCCTTCGGCCTGATTATTGTGATTGTAATGATGAGTGTCAAGCAAGTCCACTCGGTAGATTGTCACGAGATTGATTCACTTAGTTTGGACATGCTTTTATGTGGTTAAAACAAAAGCATTTTCTGTTGACCTGTTGATGAAATAAATATAAAAATTGCATTCAAGGAAAGGAAAAAGATGTGTACCTGCTCATGATCGGCCCTTCCCCGCCCTCGGCCCCTCCCCGTTCTCGGCCCCTACCCGTCCTCGGCCCCTACCCGTCCTCGGCCCCTGCCCGCCCTCGGCCCCTCCCCGTCCTCGGCCCCTACCCGCCCTGGACCCCTCCCCGCCCTCGGCCCGCTCGGCCGTCAGAACAATATTACCGCCCCTAGCCTGTTAATACCGCATCACGAATATCTTTTTTTTCTCAAGTCTTCGAGCACAATAGATCAAGTGCTGTGGAACACCTGGACTGTGCCTGCTGGCTTCATGTAGTCCAGTCTATAGCAGCAGCAGTTATATACAGCAGTTTGCACCAGTTTGTTAGACAGGTGAATATTCCGTCTACAGCAGTTACGACTCAGCTGTTGGACAAATGCACGATATGTCTACAGCTGTATGCGTCAGTTGTATTAATTTAAATTACTTTAAGGCCTGCTGGAGGGGGGGGCGGGATCCCTTTGAGGGACTACGCAAATTGTGAAGCGAACAACGAAGGTCTATCAGTAATCTATCGAGGAGAGTTAACGACCACTCGATAGATTAGATAGACCCCTTATAACGAGTTGTTTTAAGTGAATACAACTAACAATAGGTTGTTGATACAATGATTGTTAACTGTGCGTATTTCACAGTTACACGATAAGGCAAACTCTGGGCTTGAATTCGTCAAACAATAAGTGTTCGATTACGAAACCTGTACATCTTACTTCAATCATGGCGACTTTGAATTAATGAAACAGTTTATGAGCTTTGAAACGCTTCGAGGTTGTCTAAAACAATAACAACTTTGGGTTGTGAAGTTTTCAAGCTTGTAAAGTGTTTAATAAATACGGATTAAGCCATTGCAATTGAGGAAAGATGTATAAGTTTCGTGAGTGGACACGGAAATAAAATCCTGGCTCTGGCTAGTATAAATCCTGGCTCTGGCTAGTATAAATCCTGGCTCTGGCTAGTATAAATCCTGGCTCTGACTAGTATAAATCCTGGCTCTGGCTAGTATAAATCCTGGCTCTGGCTAGTATAAATCCTGGCTCTGGCTAGTATAAATCCTGGCTCTAGCTAGTATTAATCCTGGCTCTGACTAGTAATAAATCCTGGCTCTGGCTAGTATAAATCCTGGCTCTGACTAGTATAAATCCTGGCTCTGGCTAGTATAAATCCTGACTCTGACTAGTATAAATCTTGGCTCTGGCTAGTATAAATCCTGGCTCTGGCTAGTATAAATCCTGGCTCTGGCTAGTATTAATCCTGGCTCTGGCTAGTATAAATCCTGGCTCTGGCTAGTATAAATCCTGGCTCTGGCTAGTATTAATCCTGGCTCTGGCTAGTATAAATCCTGGCTCTGGCTAGTATTAATCCTGGCTCTGGCTAGTATTAATCCTGGCTCTGGCTAGTATAAATCCTGGCTCTGGCTAGTATTAATCCTGGCTCTGGCTAGTATTAATCCTGGCTCTGGCTAGTAAGGTAGACTGGAACGACGATTACAATTGCTCGTTTTATCAGTATTAACGACCAATTCCGCACCAAGTTCTGAGGCATTAAACGAACCCCTTCGAGGTCTATACCAAAAAAGCACTTAGAATTTTCCTGGTCTTCTGAGGAAGTCGGCCATGAAGACTGAAAAGGGCATGATTGGTACTATGGAACCTGATCATGCCTCAAGGGAACACCAATCACAGCGAGAGTGAGGTAGATTGGGACTGTGGAACCTGATCATGCCTCAGGGAACACCAATCACAGCGAGAGTGAGATAGATTGGGACTGTGGAACCTGATCATGCCTCAGGGGAACACCAATCACAGCGAGAGTGAGGTAGATTGGGACTGTGGAACCTGATCATGCCTCAGGGATCACCAATCACAGCGAGAGTGAGGTAGATTGGGACTGTGGAACCTGATCATGCCTCAGGGAACACCAATCACAGCGAGAGTGAGGTAGATTGGGACTGTGGAACCTGATCATGCCTCAGGGATCACCAATCACAGCGAGAGTGAGGTAGATTGGGACTGTGGAACCTGATCATGACTCAGGGAGCACCAATCACAGCGAGAGTGAGGTAGATTGGTACTGTGGAACCTGATCATGCCTCAGGGATCACCAATCACAGCGAGAGTGAGGTAGATTGGGACTGTGGAACCTAATCATGCCTCAGGGAGCACCAATCATGACAAGAAAGGTGAAAGCTCTCTCGTTCCCCCACATTACCACCCGCAATTGGTTGGGCTAAATATATTAAGAGTTACGAATCATTATATATCACACATTAAGTAACTAATCTAGTTTTAACGAGCTGTTGTGGCTCGCAGATCATCGTCGAATGAAGCTGGAAGATACCGGAGATAGTGACCACTAAACTGTTCGCCATCACAGTACCAAAAGAAATTATTTTACGGTACGGTGCTTGTCAACGCCATATGACGTCACCATATTGAAAAAAGCTGCAAAGGTAAGTTTTTTTTTCACCTTTGTGTTGACAACAATGAAAAGAATTGCAAAGGTGCAGTACCTTGTAATTACCTTTTGTGCTCTTCTAGATTACCTTGTACATAATTATGGAAGTTCTGAAAGGGGGAAAAAATCAAATCACCGTTGCAGACAATCTCTGAAATGACTAGAATTTTCTGTATTGACTATTTTGCACGCAACCAAAGCAATTTCAGCAATGTTGAAACACCCGCAGACTGCATGTTGACTTCCTCGTGATCAAACTGGTAACTTTATCTGTGTTGTGACCTGTTCTATTGAGAAGTTGTAAGTCTAGCTGACAGCTGGTTCACCTTACCCCCTAGCTGACAGCTGGTTCACCTGACCCCTAGCTGACAGCTGGTTCACCTGACACCTAGCTGACAGCTGGTTCACCTGACCCCTAGCTGACAGCTGGTTCACCTTACCCCTAGCTGACAGCTGGTTCACATTACCCCTAGCTGACAGCTGGTTCATCTGACACCTAGCTGACAGCTGGTTCACCTGACCCCTAGCTGACAGCTGGTTCACCTGACCCCTAGCTGACAGCTGGTTCACCTGACACCTAGCTGACAGCTGGTTCATCTGACACCTAGCTGACAGCTGGTTCACCTGACCCCTAGCTGACAGCTGGTTCACCTGACCCCTAGCTGACAGCTGGTTCACCTGACACCTAGCTGACAGCTGGTTCATCTGACACCTAGCTGACAGCTGGTTCACCTGACTCCTAGCTGACAGCTGGTTCATAACGAGTTGGAGTGAACCAAACCTGACACGTTTTAGTGCTCTCATTTTATCATGAAGACACTGGTATAAGGGACGTGAAGACCCTTGATAAGGTGACCTCTACATGAATACTAATTTAAGATTTATGTATCTCCCTTAAAACTGACGTTGAAACGGTCTTGGACAACATTAGTGCTCTTTGATATCTTATAAACAGGCTCCGAGTTGCACCACTCCTTTTGAGCGCTGCTGGGAGAGAAGAGCTCTAATCTAAGTAGACTCTCACACACTCACGGAAAACTCAATGCTTCGCCCTTGACTTTCACTCCCAGGGCTTCCGCCTGGGCCCACCACGACTACCCTGTGCACTTAGAAGACAGTATACTTGGCCCTTGACCCCCCAGGCCTGACAATCAAGGCTGATGGACCCCTCAATGTTGTCCTGTGTACAGAGCACACACGCCCCAAACAAGTTACCCTTGACCGACTGCTGTAGGAAGGTTTTAACGTGTTAGTTGGTTAGCTTAAGAGAGCGACGTGTTTAGTATGGGGGTTAGTTTGGCTCTTGCGGTGTGTTAAGGCTTGTGGTCTTTGGTTCGTGTGCTCAGTGGGAGACTCCGCTTCCTCTGGTGTAGTTCTTGCGGGGGAGTCGCTAGTATTGTCGGATTTGATTATAGTTTGATGATGTCCGGACACTGGCGACTCTCTCTCTCGACACTCGGGTCCCCAGACAGCAAGCGTCGTTACCGCCTCCAGCACCGCCGCCATCATTTGCATCGTCACCACCACCACACACGTCACCACTATCAGCAACGACACCACTACAAGTATCACCACAATCAGCACCACAAGCACCACCATCATCCACTCCGCTGCCACCACTACCACCACCACCACCTCCATTAAGCCCCCTACTACCACCACCACCTCCATTAAGCCCCCTACTACCACCACCACCTCCATTAAGCCCCCTACTACCACCACCACCTCCACCATTAAGCTCCCCACTACCACCACCACCTCCATTAAGCCCCCTATTACCACCACCACCTCCACCATTAAGCCCCCTACTACCACCACCACCTCCACCATTAAGCCCCCTACTACCACCACCACCTCCATTAAGCCCCCTACTACCACCACCACCTCCATTAAGCCCCCTACTACCACCACCACTCCCTACCAGTTCCATATCCAGACAAATCTGGTCGACTCTCCACCCAGTCAGGTGTACAGAGGTCAACCTACACAGTCAACCAACATTAAAACAACTAATTCATTGTGTCTCTAACCATCGTAGTCTCTTCCATATTCATCGCACAATACATTCCTGTCACTGTGATTTGTTTGACCTGCTGAGTAACCTTACACGTGGGGCTCCCATGGTTGTTTCTAGCGTAGGTTAGACATGAATGTGAATGAGTTTGGGTGGGTATGTGAATATGAACGGCTTCGTGGGAGCCAATAGGTCTTCTACAGTGTCATTAATTCTTACGATGTCATATATATATATATATATATATATATATATATATATATATATATATATATATATATATATATATATATATATATATATATATATATATATATATATTTATATATATTTTAACGCTATATTTAAGTTGAACTCTTAAGATCAACAACTTTTCACACTAAATATATCTGAGGCTGCACACTCATCACACACCTGCACCACATACCTGGCAAGTGCAGGTGTGTGCAGTATACAGGTGTGGG